ACTGAAAAGGATTTGAATGGCACACAACTGATAACTATCTACAAAAACGTATTCCATAACAATATATCATGACTAAAAGAATCTTGTTCTTTATGCTGGGAAATCTTCTACACTCATCATGAAGAACAAGATCCAGATTTTCAACACAAATGGGAAGTCAACCAGTGCTTCTATACAGGTTACAAACTTGGCTTGCGCTTCATGAAAAGGATTTCTAACAAGTTAAAGACTTTTATCAACAGCTACATTCGCTCCATACTAAAGATCAAATTGCTGACCAGAGAGAATTAGCAACAGGAGCCGACTGCTCAAAAAATATGAAGGAGAAAATGTAGATGGATCGGACATGCGTTGAGGAGGCAGTCGAATGAAATCGCGCGCAATGGAGAATGTAATCCCTATGGGAAGCGACTAGTGGGTCACCGGTGTGACAGTGAAATGGAGGAGATCATTTGGCTAAGAGGAGATGACAAATTATAGCTAATCATCGTCCCAGCTGAAGAGGACAGCACCAAATAGCAGAAAGTGGAGATGTTGTTAAAGGGAATAATAAAAGAACTGTTCACAAAAGTTAAGACAAATACGCACACATTCAAAATCTACTGGAAGCCTGGACCTAACAGAAATCAGCGATTAACAGACACATTACCATAGATTAGATTGATCAACTAATAAAGAATAGGGCACATAACAAAACAAAGTCAAATCCGGAGTCAATAAAGATAACCGCTACTGATGCGAACTGATAGCCAATCAGGACTAAGGTCGTCAGGAGATGCAGTTATATCACCGATGGAGAATCCGAATAAATTCACTTCATATTGAAGTTTGAGATGAAGATGTTATCTATGAGGGTAATGAAAGCTTCTAAATTAAATCACTTAGCTCAGAGAATAAAACCACATCAACATCAGAAGTAACTTTCATATATATTAAAATATTCAACAGCCCTGTGATTTTGACATATGTGCTCGACATACAAACTCAAAACAAATCACAATAAACATTCAGTTTTTTCAGTGCTTACCAGTGACTACTACTTCATTTCTTCAAATACTCAGAGACAGACAAAAAGTTAGTGCAGTATCTGCCTATTTGACTGAAAGTCGAGTTCTTAAGCCAATGAGCCGCATGTCTGTCAGTGTAGTATCTACAATGTCACTTATTCCTTTAGAATACCTTAAAATCTCAGAGTGTATGAAGACTGCACCTTTTAAGTGCATATCTGATCGCATTTAAGCATGACTGTCATAACATCAGTGCAAACCAGTCACTGGCCTAATTCTACAGCTTGTACATGATTCTCTATTCTTTTCAGCAACAAAAAAGAATTACCGTCAATGTTACATCCTGTGAATATCATTACTGCCTACTATTCATTAATGGCAAATAAATCTACTTTTCGCTGAAACTAGTTAAACAGTAATAGTCAATAAAAGAAATCAAAACAAATGAAAATCTGCGTGATTACTGGTATGCAAAATATGAATAAAGGGGTAAAGAAACCAAAAACTGCTGCTTTACTCAAACATATGTCAGAATTTAATTAAACATGACTTAAAATGGAACGTGATTAGCTATACATAAATGAATCTGCGGTAAATCATTATTTATTTAAAAGATAAAAGTAAAGCAACATATTTTGATGGCAATCTAATGTGATACATTTAATGTATTCACATAAAATAGGTTTAAATATTATCAAGTGTTGGTTTGCAGGGATTTCAATGTTTCCAGGTTTGATCACGAGTTAACATCAGTTAGAGAACCAGTGGAAAACTTGAAATCCCTACAAACCAACACTTGGTAATATTTATAGCTATTTTATGTGGATATATTAAATATCATTACGTCATTATCATTTTATCGCTGAAATACATCTATGAACAACGTAATAAAAAATGAATTTGACGTAATACCAGTTGATTTAAGGATCTATAGAGAATTCGGGTTGTTTGAAATGACTCGACTGCCTGAGCTGAGTCAAACCGGGCATCCTGATGATGAGTTCAGCCCCAAACGAGCGAGATGGCAGTTCGGTGTTTAGTCTGGCTAGCAAGCACTAGTGGCTGATATAAGTGGTGTCCAACTACCCGAATCAGTCAGTCAGTAGTGTATATCATCATACATAAATTGCATCTTAGATTTCTTAAATTTATTTAATTAGGATGTAAAACAGTTTCAAACAACAATAAAAATGTTATCAGAAACCTAAATAATCATTTAATTGTGTGTGTATGTATACTGAAAAAAAAGAATGATGCTAATGATAATGCACAGTTGAATCAAATCGGAGTTCTTTTTATCTCTCATAAAATCATTTTAACTCAAGCGATCACTTACTTCCTTTCTATGGCTTAATAAACAATGATAAAACCGGTTTATTATCATTATGACATAACTCTCTAATTAAAAAATAACCTAAAAATTAATTTTAGGTTAATAACTAGCTTTTAGGAGTGATTTTATTCTTCCAGTCAATCAGCTCACTCTCACATTTTGTCTTGTAGTGTTTATTCTCATTCTGTTTCATCTTCCTTGTGCAATAGAAGCAGAAATACTAATAATAGTGGTAATATTTTTATGTGTTGACTTGTAGGGATCTGATTGGTTTCAACCTAGATCATGGAGTGATTTCATTTAGAGAACCACTAGAAACAAGAGAGTACTGGACAATGGTTTCTTCGTTGTTTCGGACTCTTCAGGAGTGTACACCCATCATCTTACCATCAGGAATCGAACTTGTACAACACGGGTTCCTCGAATACTACGCCACTAAGATGGAATTCAGTGCATCACACATTCCAGCTTCTTTCAGTTAACAACATTAATGAAAATAGTGTAAATGACTACTCGTTTGGTTTATAATTGTTCCTGAGAATTACGATTAAATTTTACGTCTTCGCTGAATATTAATAATAAAGTGTCTGTGTAATGATAGCTATGACGGATATTGTCGGTTTGTTATCACTTCACACGTCATTTCACTAGAGTTTAGTTTTAATAAACAAGTTTAAATTAGTGGTGTCTGTTGTTTAGTCACATGACATCATCAATCGTTCCAAATAACCCAGTTTGAAAAGTACTTTAAGTTGAGTTGTTTAGTAGGAAAATAAAGACAATCGTTACCACCTGTGTGACGGATCGAAAATTCCTCGCCTCTTTCAAAAAAGGTGGACTTAACACATTGAAAAATATTACACACTACATTGTTCTTTATTCACATAATAAAGTCTGCCGTAATTGTACGTTAGCTGCAGATAATCAATAAATTTTACTCTAGTCTTTTTTATAGTCTGTGGTGATTTGTATTATTTCAGGGTTGATTCTGTAAGTTAATGTGTTGTATGTTTGAGGAACTCTGTGAAAAACATTTACTTTTTTTTCAAAAGTAAAATATTTCTTAGTTAATGAAACATTATCATTTTAGAAAAAAGTGCCTAAGATTGGTGTTTTCAATGTTGTATAAGGAACAAAGTGCTTAATTATATGTTTTCAATATAAAAAATCTATCGAGGTAATTTTAAGCTTGCTCGTAAATGGCAATCAGAATAACCAAAGAGTACTGGACAATACTAGACAATTAATGATCAAAATTGAAATCAGTCAGTCGCCTGCAAACAACCATTTGAAAATCAACCTATTGCTTATTAGTGACTGACTACATGATGAAGTTATCTGGAATTCTGAACAGAAGCCATGACCAGTGAGGTCCGCCTATGACATTGGCTAGCGGCCACGCTATAAGTCGTGAATTTACAGAAGTTAGAATTAATTGGCGGGTCAGTGGACTTCATCACAGTGGTTTATTGATAAACGAGCTAAATTGCAATCTGAGGGACCTAGGTCCTATCTATAGTGGTGCGAATGTGCGATGCTGAAGAGTCCAGATCAAGGACGAAACCGCCGTCCAGCAATCACTGGTTCTCGAAGGTTCTCTAATTGAAGTCATTTTGTGATCAAACTTGAAGTCAATCAAATGCCTGCTAATGAACAGTTGCAAGTCGATCGGAAAGATTTGTCCTAATCAAAATTTAGTGATGAAACTTATGCCTAGAAAACAATTTTCACTTGTAGCTAATTTCGAGAAAAAAGGAATAAACTTTGACAGGGTGACGGATTTAGGCATGGGGGACTGTGACTCACAGTGATTAAATTAATGAAACGATGGAATCTGTATATAATCCAGTGCAACAGCATTTGTTAAAAAGTAACTAATAAGTAAAACCACCTGATCATACAGAAGCAGGAGGAGATGCCTCCGTATAAACCAAGTTGGAAAGTTTTCCGAAGATGAACGGCGACTTTAGTCATAGCAATGTATATAGACTACGAAATAAAATAAATTTCAGTAGTCTGCATTTTTGTATTTACTTTGCTTAAAAATAAAATCAGTGGGAATTACTACTGAAAAAACTATTTATCATAACCACTGTTCAGTCTTACGGAATAATTGTATGAGAGATGACTTACCGGGTTCACTGAATAAAATCATTTTTATCAGTTCATAAACACAGTCGCTGTGAGTAACAGTGACACAAACATGATTCAGAAGTTTACAAATGTGGCCAGTAATCATCATTCAGTCTCTGACTACGTTTACTTATAAATACTTCGAAAACAATGGAGTAGTTATACTGCCTTTGATATGAATTATCTCTGACCTTTACAAAGGTTGAATTTTAGTTATTTTATTTAATCTATTTAGTTTAATTTGTCGATATAACAGGCTATCGATCAAAAAAATCACATCAACAGTGATGTGACTGTTTAGTTCATTGCCAGTTCATTCATTCAGATTAGCATATAATTACACATTCATTACACATAATTACCGTACGCTTAATTCTAAATGAGTGATGATTATTTGACTTGCAGTAAAGTTAATTCACTGGTTATGGATTCTAACTCAACCAACTCAACAGGCTGAGAGTTTTATTTCTGATCTAGTGTTTTCTGATGAACAGTAATGTTTAAGTAATTAACAGGACAACACTCACATCAATACAAATACGATAATTTTCACTATTTTTGATTGGCTTCATTTACGTTGACTTTTATCCGGTTAGTGATCTGGTTATTTGATAATTTTGTAAGGTCACATTTACACGCAGTCTGTTCTTTACCAATTGGCAGTGCGTCGTAAAGGCGTCTGTTGTCTATCCTAGCAATCTTCTCTACTCCGCAGATTATTCTCAGCTTCTCCTTTCGTTGTTCATCTCTGTATTAGTTCGTTCTCTATTTCGACGTCCTTCAACTTTATCTTGAAGGTTCTCTGCACCAGGGCGCGGTCTGAGCCCACATCTATTCCTCTTCTCACATTTGCATACAGTGGGCTGGATGCGTCTTTGCTTTCTTGAGAATTAAATGAAGTTTGTGTGATTTTTGGTAGGCTGATCTGATGAAACTCACATTGCCTTGTTAATAGACCAAACACCAAATCACTGAAAGCGTTGAAGTACACAAATAGTTCTCTATTCTCGTTCATTTCACTGAGCTCGTTTTGATCCTTGGTGAATTTTCCTCCTGTGTCGTATGCTTCCAGTTTGTCATTCATATAATCCATTAGAATTTTGATGTCATCACTTAGGTCGTTGTGCATTAGTGTTTGAAGTTATCTGCAAAAATCCTCCTTTCAAGGATATTAATATTTTTCTGTACATAAACTTCATAATTCCTTTAGGCTGTAGGCAGCTTTCGCTTTATTCAGATTCACAAAGGGGAATAAGTGCATAAAGTCCTCCTTCTTCTTCACTGGGTCTGTGTTATTCGTAGGTGCGTAGCATTGTATATATGTAACTTTCCTGAATTGTGAGTTGCATATTATTTTCATTATGCTGGAGGAGGCGCGTTGGTGGTGCAGAGATAGAATGCTCATGGGGTTACTAATCCCACGCCTAACCTTACTTGTCTTCAAAGGCTTAAGAATGACTTGTAAACTACACATATTTCGTGTAGTTTTATAATACTGTGGAACCTGAATTTTAGAAAGTTTCTTCAGACGTCATATATATATGTGTATTATTGATGGGAAATATCTGTGAATACTGTGTACATTTTTGATCGTTATTGTGTTGTCTGATTCCAGAAAAATATTTTGTCTATTCACTATCCGAAAAGTAAATATTCTGAAGTCGTAGGCGGTAGACCTGATGCTTCTAGTATGTATGTCTCACAAAGTTGTGAATGTGTTCTACAGTGGGAACTAAAAAAAATTAGACGATTTAGATATCCACGGCTTCTTGAACGTTAGCATTTACATACTTGTTATCAGTTAGAAAACAGGCTTATTCTAAATTATTCCAATTATCTACAAGCATCAGAACTGAATATTACTCAGTAGTTCTATTGAAAATCCAGAAACTGAATTATAGACCATTGGTATTTTAGCTCAAAAACAATTTGTCAGGGAATTGTGAGTCAGCATATTGTGTAATCTACTATTCTCAAGGAACAATTCTATGAAATTGTATTTCCTTTCCGGGAAGATAACACTGTAACAAATCAGTTCTAGAAAGTCTCACCGTTAAGGCAAAAGATTTCCAAAAATTAATAGATGTCACTATATTTAGACTATCCTCTGAATGTAGAATATAGATCTAACTCATGTTACTCTATCTATTTTAAAAAAAGCAGGGTTTTTCAATTAGACCGTTGTATGTAATGGATGAACAAACACAATAAATGTGACTTACCCATTGTCTTCATAGCGTCATTTAACTCCACAGTGTTTTAATTTTGTGTAAATTCGTAGATCATTTGATGATCTGATAGTGGCAACAATTCATGTGATGAGTATAGTTGCAGTGAAAAATGATTGAAGGAATAAAATGATTCTATTTTTCTTACCACCCTGTTTCAGAAATGTTGTTGTCACAATTCTTTTTCTTGCCTGATAGGTAAATACTAGGGTGAGGAAATTTGGACTCCGTGTTTTATGATTGGTAGATCTCAAGGTTATGCCTGAACATAACCTTGTTGGTTTGATTTGACCAGTTGAAATATTGAGGACAGACTTTCTTCATACCATCAAATTTTGGTTTCCAACCAACGGTTAAAGATAGTATCTTTCTAACTAGTGAGGTAGAACAATATTTTTTCAAAACAATAAAGCGAATATATTCTTCATCATTCACACAGTAAATCAACATACACAGTAATTAGATTAATCGACATTTTGAAGTTTTGATTATAATAACAAATTGTCCTGTTTCCAGTTTGCGAACAAAAATCAAATGAATAAATAATAAGTAGGCGAACAAAATTAAATGTTGTAGATAACGGAAGATGAGAGACGACTTTTTATGTTCTGTGGGTTGATGAATCGATTTGATTTATTGATTGATTATTTGGGTACATTTTTCACTTAACTCATAGTAATTAAAGCATGGAAAATAGGTATATTTGATGAATCTTGATAGTAAAAGGAAAACTCTGATAAATAATACTAGTGGCAAATTATTACTAGTAGTGCGTCAGTGGTTCACAAGTGGAATGTTCGCCAACCACGCACGCGGTCTGGGTCCAATTCCCAACAAACGCACTTCTAAAACTCGTGTAGCTGTTAGTAAGCGCAGTGAAGAGGGAAGTTTTGGAGAGAGATCAGTAACCATTCTCCGTAAAAATAGTGACACAACTGCTACTGAGACTTCACAGCTCTAACTTGATGCCTTATATTCCATTCGGAACGCATAAGAAAGAAAACAGAATCTGCTTCCACTTGTGTAACTACATACTTGTTTGAATTCAAACTAAAATTAACAAAACTAAGTTTTAGGATTCTAGGTTCTACTAACTTGTTTGACTGGCTATGAATCATCCGAAAAGTTGTTCTTTGCAAAACATGCAAATGAGTTTATGACACTGAAGCACTGTCAACTGGTTTTGAGAACAAAATCAAGTTTTTGCATTCATTAAAAGTGATATTATTATTTTGAAGGATGACTGGATATGAATCTAACTTGAAATAATATATACATATTTTGAACAGCATTGAAGTTTTAATACCAGACCAAGACAAATTTTCACAATCACTGCTAACTCCTCTTTTAGGGTGAAAAGAAACGAAGCTGTATGACCATTCATTAAATATACACTTCCGAATAACCTGCTAGCTTCTTCAGTTGAACTTTGTTTGATTAAATTAGTGAATGACAGGTTACAATTCGCTGATGATTACCACCACTATGAATGTATTTAAATGTATAAAGGAAAAATATTGATGTGTATAGATTACACATAATATTATTAGGCTAGGTGCTATAAGATGACAGAATGAAATTTAATTACTGATTGATGACATTCTTATTGTACAAGTGGCCGCAGATAATTCGTCAGTTATCTTTAAATGATAATTTGTCAGCATAGTTCTGATTATTAAATTCCCAAACGATGAAATACTGATTTCATATTAATTCAAAGGTGAAGGCTGTACGACAGTTTACCATCAATCAAGCAATTATTTTAATTCCAAACCTACATTTCCCTACAATGTTACGCATATGCTGCACACACTTTAGTCCAGTTTTGTAGTCAAGCCTCATATCATATATATACTTCTCGAAAGGATCAATGAAACAATATTTATGGATCTAATAGAAGTATAATAAAAATGCTCACTTCGTCAGTAGTTTTAGACTTCAACTTACCTCTCTTTGGACATCTTTTATCGTAACATTAGCAGCAAAATAATGCAAGCATCCTGTTTTCATATTTTGCCTGATCACATCATAATAAAGTGCATTTGCTTACTATGCAGTTTAATGTATCACTATATATATATCCTTTGGTTTCTATGGTCCTTGCGACTACATTTCGCTCATATCCACAGTTGCTCTTCTTCATTCATTTGCTTTCCAAAAGAAATATAGGACTTCAAGCATGATTTCTGAAGTTTCAGTTGAGGAGATATGTTTCTACAAGGTGAAGTTACTAGTCTCACGGTGAAACTTACTGGATTCCACGGCCAGTCATTATACAACGAACGAAATATACTATTATCCAATATTATGGTTTAAGTTAAATTAAGTTTTTACAATTGCTCAGCTTCTCAGAATGAAAACTACCGCAACTTATTCACCGAGAAAGAAAGAAAAAAGATTCACCCACTAGATAGCAGTTTAAAAACTCAACCACTGCTTCAAACTTCAAGAGAGAGTCCATCGATTTGAAGGCGCAAAAAAGTGATCTATTAAAAAATGCACATAGCGTCAAGTAAACAGCCTTCATTTCTTAGTTGGAGTAATGCACGAGAAATAATTATTAATCATTAAGTTTTTGACAAAATGTGTCTTCGTTTTATTTAAAAAGTATTGTCTTCATATTATAATTCGAAACCAGAAGTATTGATTCGCGTCTATGCATTACATTTTTAGATAACGAAGTCAAATTACAGAACGACTGGGTGAAAATTTGTTTAACAGAAATAAAGTATTCTACTTTAAACAATAACCTGATTTCATTACTCTTATCTTCACTCAGTTTACCTGTTTTATCAACGACAAAAACTATCGCTTTCTAAAATGATAATAGAGATTCGCAAATGAGGTGGATGTTTCCGATTTGATTGCATCTCTGGGCTGACGCGTGGGTGCGGGGGCTCAGTTGCGAGGCTTTCATTGTTCACCCAGGCAACATCTTCGCCGCCTGTTGCAATGTGAAGTAGGTTTTTGAATTCTCTGTTAACGACGTAATTGCTGTCACTCTATCTGGAAAGACAACAAAATCTTGGCAATTGAACCATCCTGCTTGGAAAACAACATTGTTTTCTAAAGACTAGTAAAGTATGCTCCAAAAATTGAAGTGATGTGGTGCAATGAAATGAAGTGTGGTGTGTAAACTCAATCTTGCAGGTAGGTAGGTACCTGGGTGAAATTTTTATTATTGGTTGCAACAAAAACTGATGGATCCACATTTATCTGGTCAACCAGACGACAGAAGCACCATCCATGTCAAAGGCGTGTATCTTCAATTTACGGTTCTTAAACTCATTCATGTATACAAAGAAAATACTAAAAGAATTATTCTTCAGAACTAACCTGTTTTTGATTAATTTTTACTGACTTATTATTGATCTTTAGATGAATGTAATTCGACACATAAATTTTCAAGCTGACTGAATAACTATTGATCACTTCCAGTAGCAATAACTGTAAATTTGCAGATTTAGGAAATAACGGATTGTCTATTTGTCCTCTGTATCTTGAACTACACCCACGAAATGAATTATCTTTTTCTTGGTCATATATGCAATACTTTTGTACTCATTTGTGCTCAGCCTTACCTCAGCCTTAATATCTAAAGATAAATGGAGAATTCACTACTGAATAGAATCGTCAGTACAGAAAATGCTAGAATAAGTCTTCTAGTTGTACCAAGTGACAGATATGCATTTCTAGCTAAACAGGTGCTGTTAATATGAGACCGTCTTGCCTAAATTAATAGGCCACACAATATTCCACCTTTTGAAAAACATCAAATTTACACTATGTCATACTGTTTCAGTCATCCAGTTACGTTGTTGTATCAAAATCTCTGCTTACACTAATTTCTAAATTGTTTTCAACATACTGGAAAGAAATGAAAGGATTACTTATTTGAAGGGATCTCAATATCTTTCGGTTAGAATAAATACTGCTTCACATCATATGTATTATCTGTCATTATTTTCCTGGAAGATTCTACACAACGAGTGAATATATTTTGCGATAAAACACGCTGAGAATTCCGCATTATGTATCAGAAAATTATTCAGAGTAAAACCATTATTTTATTATTATTTATTACTATCACTTTTTAAATTTGTGACCATATTTTTCTGGTTAACAAAGTGTTGAGCTTTAAATAAGAAATAATAAAGTCTTCGTGAAAATTTGCTGCGCCTATTAAGTTCAGCAAAAAGGTGTCGTGTGAAGATAAACAAAATGATTTAAAATTCACGATTGCAAAACGGGAAATTCCAGGTGTATTGTACTTACTTGCATGATCATATAGCATATACTCCTATTCATCAGACATTTTTAGTACAATAATAATAGACAAACCTTTGCAAAGTGGATCTTAAAACAGTCAGTGACGTACGCACCAGTAAGGAGTTTCTCCAATCTCAAGTGAATTGTTTCCCACACAGAGATCCAAACACATTCATGGATCATGAAAAGCGTTTTTAGCATATGGTATCATATTTGCATTGCTTAAAAAGTGAAAGATTCAGAGAATAAGAGATTCTAATGCTCCCTGGTTAGAAATGACAAAAAAGCCTGGAAAACTGTCAAGTTCTTGAAAATTTGTTCTCTGAAGAACTTGCCTCATCACTTACTGTAAATTCATCAATAATTTCTTAGAATTCTTAATGACTTGAGAATGGGTCACTAGAAGAATTCCTGATCAACCGAAGAGATGAGAACCACTTTATGTTTTTTTCAGGACGATTCATTTCATTTCTAAATTCAAGCATCAAATCCTCTATCTCGATCTTTAGCTAAAC